CTAGATGTGTGATCCACTTCCCGCTACCTAGATGTGTGATCCACTTCCCGTTACCTAGATGTCTGATCCACCTCCCGTCACCTAGATTGGTGATCCACCTCCCGTCACCTAGATGGGTGATCCATCTCCCGTCACCTAGATGTGTGATCCACCTCCCTTCACCTAGATTGGTGATCCACCTCTCTTCACCTAGATGTGTGATCCACCTCCAGTCGCCTAGATGTGTGATCCACTTCCCGCTACCTAGATGTGTGATCCACTTCCCGTTACCTAGATGTCTGATCCACCTCCCGTCACCTAGATGTGTGATCCACCTCCTGTCACCTAGATTGGTGATCCACCTCCCGTCACCTAGATGGGTGATCCATCTCCCGTCACCTATATGTGTGATCCACCTCCAGTCACCTAGATTGGTGATCCACCTCTCTTCACCTAGATGTGTGATCCACCTCCCGTCGCCTAGATGTGTGATCCACCTCCCGTCACCTAGATGTGTGATCCACCTCCCGTCACCTAGATGTGTGATCCACCTCCCGTCACCTAGATGTGTGATCCACCTCCCGTCACCTAGATGGGTGATCCACTTCCTGTGACCTAGATGTGTGATCCACCTCCTGTCACCTAGATGTGTGATCCACCTCCCGTCATCTAGATGTGTGATCCACCTCCTGTCACCTAGAGGGGTGATCCACCTCCCGTCACCTAGCTGGGTGATCCACCTCCAGTCACTTAGATGGGTGATCCACCTACTGTCACCTAGATGGGTGATCCACCTCCCATCATCTTGAGGGGTGATCCACCTTCCATCACCTAAATGGGTGACCCACCTCACCGGTCATCTAGATGTGTGACCCACCTCACCGGTCACCTAGATGTGTGATCCACCTCCAGTCACCTAGGTGGGTGATCCACCTCCCGTCACCTAGATTGGTGATCCATCTCCCGTCACCTAGATTGGTGATCCACCTCCCGTCACCTAGATGGGTGATCCACCTCCCGTCACCTAGATGTGTGATCCACCTCCCGTCACCTAGATGTGTGATCCACCTCCCTTCACCTAGATGTGTGATCCACCTCCTGTCACCTAGATGTGTGATCCACCTCCAGTCACCTAGATGTGTGATCCACCTCCCGTCACCTAGATTGGTGGTCCACCTCCCGTGAACTAGATGGGTGGTCCACCTCCCGTCACCTAGATTGGTGATCCATCTCCCGTCACCTAGATGTGTGATCCACCTCCCTTCACCTAGATTGGTGATCCACCTCCAGTCACCTAGATGTGTGATCCACCTCCCGTCACCTAGATTGGTGATCCACCTCCTGCCACCTAGATGTGTGATCCACCTCCCGTCACCTAGATGTGTGATCCACCTCCCGTCACCTAGCTGGGTGATCCACCTCCAGTCACTTAGATGGGTGATCCACCTACTGTCACCTAGATGGGTGATCCACCTCCCGTCATCTTGAGGGGTGATCCACCTCCCATCACCTAAATGGGTGACCCACCTCACCGGTCACCTAGATGTGTGATCCACCTCCTGTCACCTAGATTGGTGGTCCACCTCCCGTCAACTAGATGGGTGGTCCACCTCCCATCACCTAAATGTGTGATCCACCTCCTGTCACCTAGATTGGTGATCCACCTGCTGTCATCTAGATTGGTGAACCACCTCCACTGTCACCTAGATTGGTGATCCACCTCCCGTCACCTAGATTGGTGATCCACCTCCTGTCACCTAGATTGGTGATCCACCTCACCTGTCACCTAGATTGGTGAACCACCTCCTGTCACCTCGATGTGTGATCCACCTCCCATCACCTACATGGGTGATCCACCTCCCGTCACCTAGAGGGGTGATCGATCACACCTCCCATCACCGAGAGGGGTGATCAACCTCACCTCTCACTTAGATGGGTGATCCACCTACCATCAGCTAGAGGGGTGATAGATCACACCTCCCATCACCTAGAGGGGTGATCTACCTCACCTGTCACCTAGATGGGTGACCCACCTCACCTGTCACCTAGATTGGTGATCCACCTCCGTCATCTAGAGGGTGATCCACTTCCTGTGACCTAGATGTGTGATCCACCTCCTGTCACCTAGATGGGTGATCTACCTCACCTGTCACCTAGATGGGTGATCCACCTCCAGTCACTTAGAGGGATGACCCACCTCACCTGTCACCAAGATGGGTGACCCACCTCACCTGTCACCTAGAGGGATGACCCACCTCACCTGTCACCAAGATGGGTGACTTACCTCCACTGTCACCTGGAACTTGGGTTCTTTTCCACCTGTTTAAGACATTTTGCCCACTCTCACCTACCAAGAACACTCATTGCTGAATGAGTTTACTTCACAGTGAATGCAAATAAGCTTTAAGAATATAGCATATGATAACATTATGCTGGAATTACATTTAATAGCCGACCAACCCTGTTTTAGGTCCAAGTCACATGAACCACAACATCTTTTGTTTGACCCTAGAGAAAGGTCTGGCCCAGTCAATCATGTCAATAATTACTGCATGGATGACTGCTTAGGATTAACTCATGAAGGTCCTTCATACGTCGGCAGTTATCTCCCATGTTCCCTTGACCCCAGTTATATCTGTATTGTTGAGATCACATACCATGTGCTCACTGGCCATGGTGGCAGCCGCAATGATATAACAACTCTGTCATTCAGCCCGGCATGCTGTGTGCTGGTGAAGTAAATACCGTCACCAACTGCCGTCATGCCTCACTTCCTGCTGCTTTGTGTGAACTGTTTAACTAGGGAACTGGCCTAGTGATGGAAGGATGTATAGTGGAAACTTCAAAATACTGAATGTAGTTTTTGACTCCATTTGTAATATTTCATCCATATATATATATATATATGATGTATGTTCTCCTAAAAAGTAAAGGATATTTGAAAATAGCTGATGAATTCAGACATACAATGATGCATTGGTGGATAAGAAAAGGGAGGCTTTAGGTGTAAAGGACAATTAGCAGACGTGTGTTATGTATTGTAAGGGTGCAAGCCTTGCATATTTGTAACTTTATCAACGCATGGTGAATATATTTGATATCAAAAGACACTTAGGGGAGATTATTTATCATCAAAAATCACTCTTCATTAGTTTTAATGAAAAATGTACATCTCTGAACACGGTTCTGCCATTAGACTTTCAGTGCAGCGATGTCGTAGCAATGTGACATCAAGTTCATGACGTCATACCATTGTCAGGGCATTGTAGTACTGTCAAAATGATATCTCCTGTGAGATATCATTTGACGTCACACAAGCAATATCTCCTGTGGAACACAGTTTTGGATAATAAATAACAATCAACAGACTGTGTTAAGTATTGTAAGGGTGCAAACAACCAAGAACGATTAGGGGGACGTTCAGTGAAAGTTCGAGGTTTTGAGATTATTTAGGCAGGGATGGGTCATACCCCTACTATTCTTCTTAAATTCATTTTTACAGCCTGACCTGGCATAGCCAAAACCAATCTCCCAATAACAGCTGGAAGGAGTCTGCCCACCTTTCTTCCAATAACCTCTTTTTGTGGCATTTAGAGGTGTGATGAACAACGGGGAGAGTTCTATGGATATACCGAAACACCGCTCATATTAATAATAAAGAAGTTGTATATCCAGAGAACTCTCCCCGCTGGTCCTCTTGCAGTGCCTGGACCAGTTCATATAATGTATCGTTAGTGTATATGTTTCTGGATCATGTCCCAATCATGCTGCATTGGGGAAAAAGGTCAGGACACATGGCTGGTCATTGCATTCTTTACCATCAGAACTCAAAGCCACCGTCTGTGAATCCTCTTTTAAAAGCCTAATCAAAACTTTTCTGTTCAGAACTGCTTACAATATTTAACAATTTTCCCCTTTACTGACTCCTACATATATGTGTGCCAGTGAGCAACTAGACAGATGAATACCAGGCGCTATACAAGTGAATTATTATTATTATTGCAGCAAGAGGTGCAGATTAATGCTCAGTTTCTGAATTTTTGATAAGTTTGAGAGAAACAAATAATTTCTTTCCAAATGGAAAAGGAGCCCCAGTGAGGTGGGAAATGGACCTTAGGACAATCTGGACTTAGTTCATTTTGGGTAGTTTAGAAGGGAAAATAATGTGGTTCCAGGATTGTAAGCCTCTTACTACAAGAGGTAGTGCCATATGTGCATTACAGCGCCATATCATTACAGGGGCTTGGCTCATGGGTGGCCCTGTCATTTAAGGTTCCACAAGTTGCAGAGTTATATCCCTTGGACATGCCGGAGCCCTGTGGGTTTGGTTCCTGCTTCGTTCCCATTATGTTTTGAGGTTTGTCTGCATTGTACCTATGTTCATGAGTTTTACCACAGCTGTAAACATCTGGGACATACATCACTTTGGACCTTCAAACCAGAATAAGCAATCTAAACCCAGAATACTATTAAAAGGCACGTTAAACTCAACACACACACACATAAATACCGAAAATCTGTCTTGCTACCTTTGTTGATGTTACCATGACATTTGTGAATTAATCCATGCTGGACTTTGTGTTGCTGACCTAGGGTGCCCTGTGCTGGCCTGCTGATCATTAGTGTATTTTATCTGCAGAAACCTGTTCCAATATTTAAAATTTACAGACTGAAACTCATTGAACCAGTTTGAAGCATGCAAAAAGCTCTTAGGGTTTTATCATGTTGTAGACGACACATTCCCAATCTGATCGCAACAACTGCATGAAAGCTAGAGTAGAGAGCTTACATGTCACTGACGATAATGAAAATCAACAGTACTAATGGGTCAGAGCAATTTGACCACCTTTCACTCAAACGTCAAATTGTAGAATGAGACCTAACTTGGTGGTTTGGCATGGTTCACATGAAAGGATACGGGGGTTTTAGGGCGTTAAAAGGTTTTGGTTCCAAAGTCATTGTATCTGGCAATCATGTTCTTATGGTCATTCATAACATTTATATACCATGTACCAAGGGAAATATACCTTTCAAAATGTCCCACTAGACCACAGGACCAGTGAGGGGACAATAATTAGTGGCCCTGTCTGTACTTCACAGGTCCAAAATACCATTCGTAGACTTATTTACAAACTTCACTGGCCACCAGGACCACTGCAGTCTTATTTAGTGGTCCTGATGAATTTTTACTAGCCAGGGACTACAGGACCAGCGTAAATTTCGCTACACTGTGCACCCTTCTGTTTCTTGAGAGTATATATACCAACTTGGTCCATTGTTTGTGTATCACCTCTCACATAGAATAGCCTGAGCCCAGGTATTCATTTACACATGCATTTGTGTATGTTCAAACAAACTGAAACATGAAAGATGCTTTCTCTCTGCCCGTGTGTAAGATGTTTAGATAAACACTCCACTACATGCTTTGTACACCTCAGTTAACATGCAGTCTAGGAGTGCAATTAAAATGTACTTGTGATGTCATGCCATTTCCTTGATGATACACCCAGCAGACTGAGATATTGTGTGATTGATGTTAGTGAATGTGTGACATACAACAGCCCAGTCCAGGAGTTGTCAGTTGTGGATCTTTCTCAACACACTGTAGTTATCTACCTATCTGCCTGGCCCTCCTGGATAACAAGTGAAGAATGCTCCACTGAACACACTGATGATGGAGTGGAACTGAGAGGTTCACTGACTTCTTTTATGTTGTTGACATGCACAGTCCTATGATCTCTGTGATACCCAGCTTCTCCCTCCCACACTGACCTGTCATACCCCCACCCTCAGTTACTCCCTCCCACATTGACCTGCCTCACCCCCAATCCCTAGGTTCTCCCTCCCACGCTGACCTGCCTCACCCCCAATCCCTAGGTTCTCCCTCCCATGCTGACCTGCCTCACCCCCAATCCCTAGGTTTTCCCTCCCACACTGACCTGTCTCACCCCTACCCCCAGGTACTCCCTCCCACGCTGACCTGCCTCACCCCCAATCCCTAGGTTCTCCCTCCCACGCTGACCTGCCTCACCCCCAATCCCTAGGTTTTCCGTCCCACACTGACCTGTCTCACCCCCAACCTCAGGTACTCCCACCCACGCTGACCCGCCTCACCCCCAATCCCTAGGTTTTCCCTCCCACACTGACCTGCCTCATCCCCACCCTCAGGTACTCCCTCTAGCACTGACCTGCCTCACCCCCACCCCTATGTTCTCTTTCCCACACTGATCTGCCTCACCCCCGGGCCCCAGGTTCTCCCTCCACTCTGACCTGCGTCATCCCCACCCTCAGGTACTCCCTCCAGCACTGACCTGCCTCACCCCCACCCCTATGTTCTCCCTTCCACACTGACCTGCCTCACCCCCACCCCCAGGTTCTCCCTCCCACGATGACCGGCCTCACCCCAACCCCCAGGTACTCCCTCCCACACTGATCTGCCTCTGATCTGCCTCCCCCACTGATCTGCCTCCCCCCCACCCTGAGGTACTCCTTCCAACACTGACCTGCCTCACCCCTACCCCTTGGTACTCCCTCCCACACTGACCTGCCTCACCCCCACCCCCATGTTCTCCCTCCAACACTGACCTGCCTCACCCCCGGCCCCAGGTTCTCCCTCACACTCTGACCTCCCACACTTCCTTCCATCTCTCATTTCCGCCGTGATGTTGCTGGAATATTGCTAAAAGCGGCGTAAAACCAAATTCAGTCAGTCAGTCCATCTCTCATTGATGATCATACTGTCATTCCAGATATTCCGCACTTTTTCTCTTCCCACATCTTATTTCCTCATACTCTTTGCTCTGCACAGTTATATTTCAGTTGCTTGATATTTCCCTCTCTTTTCCTCCCGTCCCTGACCTGCCACACAGCTAACCTCTGGTTCTACTCACACATTGTCAGTTGCTTCACATCGACCTCATCTCTCCTTCCCTGACTGAGCTACTACACAGATCCCAGTGTACACCAATTACTGGCTTCTCCTTATCAACACTGGGTGGAGAACAACCTGACTAACTCACACATACCATCGCCAATTACAGGGAGGGCGGTCACATTGTCAGGCAGTCTGTGTGGTAGAACCTGTACGTACACTCTTCTTCCTGGTCTGTTCCAAGCCAGCAGGTAAACTGGGGCAGTAACATAGTTTGATAGGATTTTGAGTATCTCAGCCCTGTGTGACCTTACTTGAAGATAACTTTGTTAAGTTGGAACTGACAACATGTTATCTTTAAGAAATGGCACATGATGGGAGTTAGGATCCCCAGATCCCCAGTGACTCCAAATATATTCCGCGAGTGTACTAAGATGTGGCTGCAGACTGTGTGTGGCACCATGTACTGAGGTAGGTGTAATGAAAGCCCTGAAAGCCCAGCTGCAGTGATGTCCAGTAGAGGACTCTACTGACCTGTGTGATATAGCAGCTTTGTGTCGTGAAACCTGATGAATCATTGTCATCACCATTGTCAAATAAATGGATCATTCATCACCCAGGAGGTTAGAGACCCAGCAGTTGTATGTCTTTGTAGACTCTGTGGATGTGTACAGGTCTACTTCTTGTTGAAGCAGCCTATATATGTCTGCTCTTCACACATGCCTCGAACCCCCGGTGTGATGACCACTTCTGCCCTACATTATGATGGCCAGTACTTCATGATGGTATCAATCCTATTGAGATCTATTCTGCTCAATGAGGGTCAGTGCTCTTGGTTGTGTACCAGCATGCTCTGTGATTGCTTGATGCTTGGAAGAACTCAAAGATTTAATGTCCGATCATGATGGCATGTTGTCCTGGTTTGTAGATGGACTATTTGTCTCCATGTGTATAGTCCACGCTAACTTGTGGTTATGTAGACTGGCAATGATCACAACTATTTGGTCGTACCATATTGACCAATATGATTCTGCTGCTGCTGCTGCTGCTAAAATACCTTGATGAACACCAACATAAGAAGTTAAAGGATAAGAGTCCTCTTTTGTTCACTGTGTCATGTGTTTAGTTCACTGAAAACTATGAAACTACAAAATGTACAATGACACATGTTGAACTGCATCAGAATGGATGAAATGATTGTTTGACAACTGTTTAATCCTGTTATGGATGTGATACATATATGTGTTGTTATCAACAAAATAATTTGAGCTGTCATTCATAATCATATGAACATATCTGATAACTTTCAAAACAAATTTTTAATAAGCAAAAACCTTTTATATAGTTTGCTAATTTCTTAAGTTCTGCATTCATAGTTGAAATTGTCTCTTGTCACACTTTGTCCTTTTAACTGTGATGTACTGTACACTTGTTGATAGTCAACTCTGCAATCAACAACCTCCGCCCTTTATTAGGTTTGTCTTGGACTGGCAACTCCTATCTGTATGTCTATTGTGCAGAAGTGCATTGTATGTTGAGACTTGTCTGTCCTATCTAGTGTGTTTTTCATTGCATGCTACTCACGATAACAGGATGACAGATAGGATGTTGGTTTGAATCGCTAATTCTGGAAGAGTTATGTCCCTTTGTCTTGTTACATGTCTCTGTTGTCTGGTGATTACCTGCTGGTATGTGTATGGTACTTTGACCTGGAGGATTTATGTGTTCTTTCTTAATATAATTCTAATGTGAGGATGTTATTTTTCAGACTGTACAACTTGATGTGGTAACTTGACAAAGGCAGGACAGTGGTGCAACCATGGTGATCTTAGGAAAGGTGAGAAGTCACCCTTCTTTTCTACCAAAGTTGTTACAAGAATTGTTATCATATCTACAATTCTTGTAGGTTTGATGGTGAGATTAAAATCTTCTGCACAGGCTGGAACTTGCTATTGGATGTGCATATTGGACACAGATGTGATACTGTTAGAATGTGGAATGAGTACGTGACACAGAAATGAAGGTGTTATAGTGTGGAATGAGTACGTGACACAGAAATGAAGGTGTTATAGTGTGGAATGAGTACGTGACACAGAAATGAAGGTGTTATAGTGTGGAATGAGTACGTGACACAGAAATGAAGGTGTTATAGTGTGGAATGAGTATGTGACACATAAATGAAGGTGTTATAGTGTGGAATGAGTACGTGACACAGAAATGAAGGTGTTATAGTGTGGAATGAGTGCGTGACACAGAAATGAAGGTGTTATAGTGTGGAATGAGTAGGTGACACAGAAATGAAGGTGTTATAGTGTGGAATGAGTACGTAACACAGAAATGAAGGTGTTATAGTGTGGAATGAGTACGTGACACAGAAATGAAGGTGTAATAGTGTGGAATGAGTACGTGACACAGAAATGAAGGTGTTATAGTGTGGAATGAGTACGTGACACAGAAATGAAGGTGTTATAGTGTGGAATGAGTATGTGACACAGATATGAAGGTGTTATAGTGTGGAATGAGTACCGTATATTACCGTAGATAAGCCGATCCCATAGATAAGCCGACCCCCTAGCTTGACCCTTGAAATGAGTGTCAAAATGGTATGTTTCGTACATAAGCCGACCCCCCGCGATGAGTCGCGGCCAACTCTCACCACTAGACACCTGATAGTAATGGATGTAACATCTGGATGTAAAACGTAAGTATGTTTGGTGAAAATAGTATCTACCGGGTAATAAAGATTATACTGACCATTATTCAGGAAACCCGTGTTTGTTTTCTTTCTTATAATCCCAACGTTCACTGTAAAACATACACAAGCCGACCCCACGCTATGGCCAGCTCACACCACGAGACATCTGGCAGTTGGATGGAAAACGTAAGTATGTTTGGTGAATATAGTATCTAATAAAGTTCACACTGCCCATTATAGTAGAAAGCCGTGTTTGTTTTCTTTCTTATAATCCCAACGATCACTGTTTGTATGCATCAACAAGAAGACGCCATTTTGTGAAGTCGGTGCATGTAGAAATATGAACCCATGAGAAAACGTTCCCACGGTAAATAAAACTGAAGTCATTTTTTTCATTCAAAACACTATATTACACAATAATACAGAATGAAAAATGTGATGAAATTAATTTGTAAACACTATATTACACAATAAGTACATTCATTAAACATTCACAGTCATTTATATATCCTCCGCTGTGAATCCCTCAAACTCGGTGTCACTGTCTTCTCCGGCCAGTGCCTGCCATGCCAATTCATCCGTGTCGTCGTCGTAATAGTCTTCTAAATGTTCACATGATAGGACGTCATCTTCTTCAGCTCTGGTATCATTGGTGATGAATTCTTCAAATAGGGCCTCGTCCTGTGATCCATCCATCGCATTCGAGATTCCACACTTGAGGAATGATTTTTCAACCATGTCCTTTGGAATCTCATCCCACGATTCCTTTACCCATTTTTCAACTTCAGGGAGAGGCGCCCCTCCTCATGGCGTTTGATTTTGTGAATGTGTGATCTCCATCAACCATCCATTCAGCCCACTTCTTCCGGATGGTCATCTTAAAGGGCTTGTTGAGTGAGACGTCAAGTGGCTGTAAAAGGGACGTGCAGCCGCCAGGTATAACGGCCTGGTGTGTCTTATTGTCTATTAATCTCTTCTTCACGGACGCGCACAAATGGGCCCGGAACATGTCCCATACCAGGAGCGACTTGCATCCTAGGAGGCTACCTGGTCTTGTACACCACACATCCTTGATCCATCTGTTAATCAACGCCTCATCCATCCACCCCTTTGGGTGTACGGCCACAATAACCCCGGTCGGGAATCTGTCCTTGGGCATGGTTTTCCTTTTGAACACTATCATTGGTTTCAGTTTAGTCCCATCCGCCATACATGTCAGCACTACTGTGAAATGTTGCCTTTCGTTTCCAGTTGTTTTCACAGAAATTGTCTTCGATCCTTTTACGTCCACGGTCCTAGAGCCTGGCATGTCGAAGTTCAGCGGCGTTTCATCCATATTTCCTATTTGTGAAAGATCGTAGCGGATTGCCTTGCGTTCTTTAATTACGAATGCGTGGAATAAATCCACCTTTGTGTTCACCTGATCCGGGAGTTTCTGGGCAATGTGAGTCCTCTGCCTTAATACCAAATTTCTCCTATTCATGAAACGTGAACACCATGTTGACGACGCCTTAAATGACGAAGGCAAACTCAATTCTTCTTTCTTGGCCTTGTAGACTGTCAATGCGCGATGGCGAATCATGTTTCTAGTGACGATTAATCCAAGTTGTCGTTTCTCCAAAATCCACTCAGCCAGGATATCTTCAATCTTAATGAAGGGGGATACAGTATATCTCCTTGATTTCTTGCTCTTAGGCATCTCATTTAATGTTGCCTTGTCTTTTCTCCAGCTCCTCACTTGCTTCTCATTGATGTCAAATTCTCGTGCAGCAGCACTGTTGTTGGTTGTCTCGGCTAGGGCGACAACTCGCAGCTTGAAGGCAGCATCGTAAGCGTGGCGTTTTCTTTTAGAACTCATGATGAGACTGTCATTTTCAGAAGTTAGGCACACTTTTATACCTACATACCAATACCTACTTACCAATTTCCTTGATACAACGTCTCCAGAACATCAAACATTACCGCCACAACAATACGTTAATCCATTCATACTGTATAAACTATAAAACACACTGAACATACATCATTTATTCATCAAACATTACCGCCGCAACAATACGTTAATCCATTCATACTGTATAAACTATAAAACACACTGAACATACATCATTTATTCATCAAACATTACCGCCGCAACAATACGTTAATCCATTCATACTGTGTAAACACACTGAGCATACATCATTTATTCGCAGGTTTCACACGCTTATTAGTGTATGTTTGTTTTGTGGTAAACAAAGGAATTAAGCCCCTACTCCGACAATCTCCCATTCCTTGAAAGTGTTTGTGCAAACAACAAAACAATAGCAATCGGGCCCATTATTATCACTTGTGTATCGCTTGTGTGGCATGACAAATCAACAGGAAGCAATCACCCTCTACACCGTATGTGACGTCACAGGAAACAGCTGATCGCACTTGGACATGTCAGAACACGATCATAACTTCTTTTTTTTGTGGATTAATTGTGTGTAAATAGGTAGGTACGAAATTTGATAATGATTAAGGGCCAAATATTTTGAAAGAACGAAATCTGTATACTTTAATATGTATTTTATTGCTCATTTATAAGAAAGTGAATGCAATCAACGTATCAGCTGATCGCATTGGCACATGTCATTTTGCAAATGGCGACCGGACAGCATTATAACTTCTTGTTTTTGTGGATTTGTTTGTGTGTACATAGATAGGTGCGAAACTTAATAATGACTAAGGGCAAAATATTTGAATTAACAACAAAATGTATACTTTAATATGTATTTTGCAAATGGCGACCGGGCAGGATTATCACTTCTTGTTTGTGGATTTATTGCGTGTAAATAGGTAGGTACGAAACTTAATAATGACTAAGGGCAAAATATTTTGAAATAACAACAAAATGTATACTTTTATATGTATTTTATTTATCATGTATAAGAAAGTGGCTGTAATTGTCGTAAACATCCACTGCTGTACCGCTAACCTGAAAGATCGTCCTGCCCGGGCACTGACGACCTGAAAAATACTTTCAAGAAATTATATCTCATAGATAAGACGACCCCCTTCTAGAGACTGCTTTTTTTCCCCCTCAAAATTCGGCTTATCTACGGTAATATACGGTACGTGACACAGAAATGAAGGTGTTATAGTGTGGAATGAGTACGTGACACAGAAATGAAGGTGTTATAGTGTGGAATGAGTATGTGACACAGAAATGAAGGTGTTATAGTGTGGAATGAGTATGTGACACAGAAATGAAGGTGTTATAGTGTGGAATGAGTGCGTGACACAGAAATGAAGGCGTTATAGTGTGGAATGAGGACGTGACACATAAATGAAGGTGTTATAGTGTGGAATGAGTACGTGACACAGAAATGAAGGTGTTATAGTGTGGAATGAGTACGTGACACAGAAATGAAGTTGTTATAGTGTGGAATGTGACACACATGAGAAAATGTTATAATGTGCAATGTGTATGAAAGATGAAAGTAACAGTGTTATAATGTATGATGTGCAATCTGTATAAGTGTTGTAAGGCCAAATAAAAAAAATGTGGTTCCGATTACACCTCTCAAAAATTTAGGGTAGGTAGGTCGGAATTTTTTTTTTTTACATATATTTTTTAGAAGTAAAGTACAAACTAATAACACATTTATCAATGTGTAATTGTTTATTCAATCAAGCTTGCGGCCATCATATCGACCTTCTCTATCAGAATAACAAATATCTGTTGGTGCCAGGAAAAAACAATGGTATCTGAAAGCTTATTTTATTCAATACGCTTAAAAAAATAGGGTTGGCACCAGAATTCAAGGGTCGGTCAGGTAATGGGAACCACAACATATATTTTTTAGGCCTAATGTAGATGTCTATTATGTATTAAAGATGAAGGTGACAGAGTTATAATGTCTTATGTGCAATGTGTTATAATGAGTAAGTGAGTATGGTTTTACACTGCTTCTAGCAATATTCCAGCAATATCATGGCGATGTCACCAGAACTGGGCTTCACACATTGTACCCATGTGGGGATTCGAACCCGGGCTTCAGCATGAGGAGCAGACTCTTTATCCATTAGGCTACCCCACTGACCCAAGTGTTATAATGCATGATGTCTATGATGTGTGAAAGATGAAGGTGACACTGTGAAAGATGAAGGTGACA